GACTGCCTCCTGGTCCAAGTATAAGTTTCACGTTAGAATGATCAAGTGTTCTGGGATTACCATTCTTCTCAGACTCTCAGTCATAGACTGCTAGGAGAACAAATAGGTTCATCCTGGAAGGGTGAAACCAGGCTGCTCCTTGGAAGCAAGGACCCTGGAGCTTTGTCTGACATACTATGTTACAAGGAGTGAACAGTTGTGTGTGGTTTTGATTTTTGTTTTTTTAAGGCAAGTGTTAAACCAAATGCTTAATCAGGAAAAAAAGAGGCACGAAACAAGAGGGAATTCCTCTTGTAACAGATTACAGGGGGAAAGGAGGTGTTTCTCCTGACACAGATCATAGGAGATAAACACTCCTGGCAGACCCAGTGTTGTCCACAGCCTCCCAGTTTGTCCTTTGGGTTTTGTCCTTCTTGAGATAGCAAAAGAATGTTGTCAGAGAAAAACATCGCTTAATTAGTAAAGAATTTTATTTGTGATTTATCACCTGGAAATTTTCAATAAAGGCAAGGGAGACTCTAGGCTCAGGGTTACAGTCTTAGAACTGTATGCCCCCTGCCTTCCCTCTCTCTTTCATTTCTCTATGTACCTGTCTCTTTCATTCATCTGGGTCAACAACAGTCCTTGGAGAGAGATACTATGCTTGGAAGGATGGAGGGACAGTTCAAGAGAGAAAACCCTCAATGAGATGGATTGATTCAGTGAGTGAAGTAATGGAGGTAGATGCCTCCAAAACAATAAGGTTGGCACAGGATAGAGCAAATTTCACGACTGTTTTACACAGGGTCACTATAAGTAACCAGCAACTCAATGGCCCACAACAACAAAAAATATTCCCAAGTCTTGCTTGTTAACTATACAAAGGCAATTGTTAAAGGAGGGAGGGCAACATGAGGAAGTCTGAGTCTGAGTTCTATCAACTCCACAAAGAAGGACGACCCCCAACAACATCCAAAATTATAAAATTCGCCCCTATACAGTCATACATGGTCCCCAAAGATCCTATGCTTACTTTTTCCTATTTACTGAGTCTGAAGTTCATTACAAATGACAAAAAGTCTTCACAAAAAAATATTTTCCTCTTTTTACTTGCAGTTATGGTATTTTTTAAGGAAACAGGTGTATCCTAAAATGTCTGGGTGATAATAGAAGTAATTTCTTAGACAAAGATAACTGTACAAATGCAATGCAATGGAGAAAGAATGAAGTTTTGTATAAATAATATAAAACAATTGGACATTCATATGAAAAAAAAAGAAAAAGAAAACATAGAAGAACCTGAGTCAATAATCTACAAGATTAAAAAAAAATTAATTCAATACAGATAATAAATTTAGATGGTGATCTAGTCCGTGTGAAGTTGTGTTGTTGACCAAAGTCTGGCCCTAACTGATGTCCGAATCCTCCAGAAGCCCTGGGGGGAAAAGATAAGCAACCTCCTTCAATATGATTTATAGCCGGAGACACAGAATGGACACTCAGCCATGAGTCACTTCCATCACAGTGGCAATGTGAGAGTGTAAAGTAAAATTTTAATGTATCTGGACAAAAGTGGAAAAAAAATCTTTGTTACCTTTGTTAAGAAATAAGATTTTTGTATTTCAGCATCAAAAAGCAATCTGTTGTTGCTGTTGTTATGTGCTGTCAAGTCACTTGCGACTCATAACGACCCTATGTACAACAGCCCTAAACCCTGCTCTATCCTGTGCCAATCACACTGCCTCTGACACACCCATCCTGATTACCCCAGACACCAAATCAATCCACCTTATAGAGGGCCTTCCCCTCTTGCACTGTCCCTCCACCCTCCCAAGCATGATGTCCCTCCATCCTCTCCAAGGACTCCTTACAACATGTCCAAAGTATATCAGATGAAGCCCCAGAATCCTTGCCTCCAAGGACCAGCCTGGTTTAACCCTCTCTAGGATGAATCTGTTTGTTTTTTTGGCAGTCCATGATATCCTCAAATACTCTTCTCCAGCACCACAGCTCAAACCCATCAATTCTCCTTCTATCCTCCCTAGTCATTGTCTAACTCTCTGATTCATAACAAGTGATTGCAAAGACCATAGCCTGTATAAGGCAAACATTCATATTTGGAATTTTGTTTGGCAAGTGACATGCAAGAAAATAAGAGACAGGCACAGGACTGTAGTAAAAGATTATAAATCATATATTTTACAAAACAAGTACTTGTATCCAAAATACATGCACCATCCTAAAGATAAAAATATAACAAAGTAAATGTAATTAAAAATGAAAACAAATATATGAACATACTTTGTCAAAGAAGATAAGGTTTCCAAAGACCACATAAAAATATACTCAATTTAATTATTTGTTTTATTGATTAGTTGTGAATTTGTTGACATATATTTCCAAATTATCTATTATTTACTGTCCATGAATCTTTGCAGTTGTGACAGAGTAGAGAAGAACTACAGTACATTGATGGAAATACAATTTATATTGTTATTATGTGCTATCAAGTCAACTCTGACTCATAGCAATTCTGTGCACATTAGCTCTGAACACTGTTGTAAGCTGAGCCAATTTCATTGTTTCTAATATATCTAACCTCATTACCCAAATGACTGTGACAATCTATCTCACCCGGGGTTTTCTTCTCCTGCCCTGTTCCTTGACCTTTCCAAACATGAGATTTTTCTCCAAAGACTGGTCCCTCCTGCCTAAATTCCCAAAGTATGTGACAGAGTCTCAAAATCCTTGCACCACAGAACAGCTTGGTTTCACCCTCTTCAAAACAGATTTGCTCATTTCCTTGGCAGTTCATGTTATGTTCTTTTCCAACACTACAACTCAAAGGCAACACTTATATTACCAAATTTAATTATCTGTACCAGATTCTGTTCGTTGTGGGCCAGGTTGTCTAATTTGTTACCCTGAAAATTTTCCAGTGCCAAGATAATCTACTTGCAATGACATTCATGGTTATTTTTCTAAGTAGAGGTTTCTAAAAATACCTCTTAACTATTTTACAATGCAAACAAAACTTCCTTCTTCTAAGTTTCTCAGGTAGCCATTAAAAAACATCCCACGCCATGTGAATGAAAAGAGATTAAAAGTTGGCTTGGGGAAACATGTAGTCATGTATTAAATTAATTCAATCAACTCTATAAATGTGGACTGAGTTTAACTGGCTTGTATTTTTCTTCCTATTTGCAGTGTTAATATTATTTAATTTACATTCAAATATGACCTTCAGTGTTACATATCAGAGGTTCAAGTGCTAATTTGTCATAGGATTTCACCAGTGCTTTAAGGAAAGACCCACATTTTTACATACATTTAGAATTTAAATAATATTAAATTAGTATTGATTAACTTCCTGACTGTGTCTTTTACATCTTTATTCCTGAAGCTGTAGATGAGGGGGTTCAACATGGGGATGACCACAGTGTAAAACACAGAAGCCACCTTGATCATGAGCCAGGAGCCCTTGAAATTAGGCACACAGTAGAGAAAAATGATGGTGCCATGGAAGATGGTAATGGCTGTTAGGTGGGAGGCACAGGTGGAAAAGACTTTGTAGCGCCCCCCAGTCCTCGGCATCTTCATGACAGTGATAAAGATGAAAACATAGGAAGTGAGAATAATAATGAGGCTGCTTGTTTCGTTGAATGTAGCAACCAAGAAAATCATCGTCTCACTAATGGAAGGGTCCGAGCACGACGCAGAAACAATGGCAGCGTGCTCACATGCAAAGTTACTTATTAATTTGGTCCCATGATAGGATAATCTCAACAGAAAGTATGTCAGTACAAAGGAGCAGACTACACTCCAAGCGTATGAGGCAGCCACCAACAAGAAGCAAAGTTTCGGGGACATTGCAACTGTGTAAAGCAAGGGATTACAAACGGCCACAAATCGATCATAAGCCATGACTGCCAACATGAATGTTTCTGTCACAGCAAATATACAAATGAAAATGAATTGCACAATGCACCCCGTGAAGGAGATGGTTCTGTCTTCCACGAGCAAATTCTCTAGCAATTTTGGAGTAACTACAGTAGAGTAACAGAAATCAACAAAGGACAAGTGACTGAGGAAAAAGTACATGGGTGTGTGGAGTTTAGGGTTCATCCTAATGATGTTAATCATTCCCAGATTCCCAACAACTGTGACCAAGTAGATGATCAGAAAGACCATGAAGAGGGGCACCCGGACATCTCGATGTTCTGAGAAGCCCAAGAGGATGAGGGTGATCCCAGCACTCTGGTTTTCCAGGGTCCTGTTGAGAAAACAAGCTGGTCACTCTGGCAATGCGGCAGGAGAATGAAAAGAAATAAATAAGATGCATTAAGTAGACAGATTTTGTGGGAAATACTTGCTCATCCTAATCTTTATTTGAATAGCTAGAAGTTACCAAAATGACATTCATAGAAGGTGAATAATGTGTGGAAATAGAATATTAAAGGATGAAATTGTAAAAAGACAGGACAAAACAAAATAGACTCTGTTTCCAGCATTCGAATTTGGGATTATCGAGGCAACTAACTTTATGTGAAGGACCAAATTGCCTTTTAGCATGAATCTGAAGTTTAATAATACTTATTTTGTAGAAAATGTAGATGATGAATTGCTATGAATTCCAGTGTCTGCTCATCAGCTATCTGTACTAACAAGAACTCTTAAACTGGCTTTTGATTTCTGGGTTTTGTTTTCTTTTGTTTTTATGTTTACAATCCAGGAAAATAATAAAATTACAATGTTCTTAGCTCATTTTCCTTTTTTAGAAATTCCATTGCCTCTATTAATTTAATATTCTCAATAAATTATATAATTCTGCTTTCAGTGATTACTAAATGCTTTTCACTACTCACCACCTAATTTACTACTATTATTCTTCAGTGCATATATCATCATTCCTAAGCAAGTACTCACAACAACAATAAAAGTGCTGTGCTGTCATAAATTTAATTAAATCAGTATTTCTTGCAGCGTTTTTCTTCTCCCAGGTGGTCTCTTCAGAGTAGATGAGTAAATGGCAAATATTGATAACTGAGATTGTACTAGTCCTGCTCATAAATATTAAACTATAGAAAAAGTAAATGAAGAACGTTTAATCTGCAAAGATAAAGTATCTGGGTAGAGACTGACACACTATAATATGCTTAATACCTCTAGAACTGAACTTCAGACGTGAGAAATTGGATTTCATGATGAACTATGGTTGACTGCGGTCTAATTCTCTATCTCCGTATTTCAGAATCCCTTCTCAGTACAGTGATTTTTGAATGACGGTCAAATATCTTTGCATATGGATTGAGCCATACGTAATTTGACTTAGAGAAAATAATGTAGAATTCAAATGGATCCCTTTGCTCTCCAAAAAGATTTGCAGTTTTTGCTTCAAAACATTCTTGTGTTGCTGTGTACTGTTGAGTCAGAACCAATCCATAGATGTCCCTCTAGTGGGTTTTCAGGGGCAGTAATTGCACCAGAGGAGATGGTCCATATTTCTCTCCCAGAACAACTGGTGGATTAAAACCATGTACAGAGCAAGGGAATACTGCATGGTTCAAAATTGGGAAGGGCGTATGCCAGGGATGCATCCTGTCTCCATACCTTTTCAACCTATATGCAGAACAGATTATCCGGGAGGCTGGGCTCTATGAGGAGAAATGTGGGGTCAAGATTGGTGGACAATTTATCAACAATCTGTGTTATGTGGATGACACAACCCTGCTTGCTGAAACTGAGGAGGACCTGAAGCGCCTGCTGCAGAGTGTCAAGGACTGCAGCCTACAATATGGATTGAGGCTCAATGTCAAGAAGACAAAGATTCTCACCACTGGACCAATTGGCAGCATCAGGATGGATAGTGAAGAGATTGAGATTGTACACAGCTTTAGTTTGCTTGGCTCTATAGTCAACAGTCTTGGCACCAGCAGCCAGGAAATTAAAAGGCGCATTGCCATGGGAAAGTCTGCTGTTAGGGACCTCTCCAAAGTGCTGAAGAGCAATGGTATCTCTTTGGAGACTAAGGTGCGTCTGATACAGGCCATGGTCTTCGCAATCACCTGTTATGCATCAGAGAGTTGGACAATGACCAAGGAAGATAGAAGGAGAATTGATGCCTTTGAGCTGTGGTGCTGGAGAAGAGTATTGAGAATACCATGGACTGCTAGGAAAACAAACAGATTTGCCCTGGAAAGGCTTAAACCGGGTGGCTCCTTGGAGGCAAGGATTCTGAGGCTCCATCTAACATACTTTGGACATATTGTGAGGAGAGACCAGTCCTTAGAGAGGGATATCATGCTTGGGAGGGTGGAGGGACAGCGCAGGAGAGGAAGGCCCTCTATGAGGTGGTTTGATTCAGTGACTGGGATAATTGGGATGGGAGTGTCAGAGACAGTGCGATAGGCACAGGGCAGAGCGGAGTTTAGGGCTGCTGTACATAGGGTCGCTATGAGTCGCAGGCAACTCGACGGCACATAACAACAACAACAACCACCACCTTTGGATGGGCAGTTCAATCCCTTGCCACTAAGCCATCATTCACTTCCTAAACAATATGCCTCTGGAAACTCTACGAACTTTGATAAATGCAATAGTTATAGAAAGGCATCAATCGTTTGTTCATAGAGTTGCTATGAGTCATGCTCAACTCGAAAGCAATCAACAACAACAACAAGCCACCAGGTGGCCTAGTGGTAAGGAATTGCACTGACATCATGCTTGGAAGGGTGGAGGAACAATGCAGGAGAGGAAGACCTTTAATGAGAAGCAAGACTTAAACAAACACACACTATTGAGGACAGCTGTCACCTTTTTTTTTTCAACATGATCCTTCTCGCGATGGTAGTGGATGTGATAATAAGAACTAGTGGGAGCTCTGGTGACCCAGTGATAAGAAGCAGCCCAGTTTGAATCCACCAGCTGCTCCGCTGGAGAAGGATGGGCAGTTTCCTCCTGTGTGATTAACTGCCTCTGAAAACCTGCTAGAGAGTCAGCTATGGGTACACAACAAATAATAATACTATGTACTAGATTGTTGTTGTTATGTGCACTCAAGTTAGCTGTGTTTCACCGTGACCTTATTTATAACAGAACAAAAAGCTGACTGATGCTTCCCCACCATTACAACCTCTGCTGTGCCTACACTATAGGGAGCTCTGGTGGCCTAGTGGTAAGAAACAGCACTGAAATGCCAAAGACACAGGGTTTGAATTCACCAGCTGCTCAGCAGGAGAATGATGGACAGTGACCTCCCGTGTGATTTACTGCCTCTGAAAACCTGCAGGAAACTCAGCTATGTGCAGGTTCACCACAACCACCACCACCACCACAACAACAACAACAACAAACAGTACTGGAGGAGATTGCCTCTCTTTCTCCCTTGTTAGATTGGAACTATGTGCCTTTGAGTTGGTAATAGAACTTCTAACCATTAAGCTCCCTATACCTAAAGGAAGAAGGCCTGATTAAATTCAGCTGCCCCTCTATTCATTTTCATGCAGTAGAGAAGCAAGTGCCTCGGTGAAAATAATCAAGTTGCTAGTGAATGCCTCTAG